GCAGCATCGGGCCACTGGGCAGCACTGGTGTTCGTTCTCCATGGCCACTTGGGTTCCAACTCTGAACCCTCATGGTGAGTCCTAAGCTTGAAAACAGGTGCAGTCTCAAGACCTCAGCTCCATGCTGGCCCAGGCTGGTCAAATGCATCAGCTACTTGTAATTCTTTGGCTACACACTTGGCACCATGTACCGAATGCAAACGTTTTGGGGCATAGTGGGCCCAGCATCACAGAGCTGTCTCTATAACAAAAAGAGTTTCACTTTACGTTCTTCAGTTCCTTATACTAAGTGACAGTGTTGGCCACTGTTCCTTTCAACTTGTCTCTAACCCTTGTTTATGGACCATCCTGCTTTCCTGAGTTGAGCCCCCCTCATCCAACAAACTAAAAGTTTTTGCTGCATACCAAGGACCACAGACACAGATGCCAAGCAGAGTGGTTCCCTACCAGGTGAGCAGACTAACATTGCTTCTTTCTGTGTGCTCTGGACACCCAAGCCAGTGGACTGCCATGGATGGGGGAGCCTAGCACCATGCTGAAAAATGGCACCTGTCACTACTAAAGGTGCCTTGAGATTTCCCTAATGAAATGGAACCTGACTTCTCAGCACCTCATCTAGTCCTCTGGTCTATTGCCAGTCCTGTCTGTTGTCTAGTCTTGATTGTTAAGCTTGTATGTGGTATGCAGAGGTCTCCCTAGAGTGGCTGCACAGGTGTCTGCATCTCCTTGTGCAGTGCTCTTGGTTTGGGTTTTGAAGTTTCTCTGTTCTGAAGAACAGGGCTCACATTTTGAATGCTGCTTTCTAGAGAATTCTTCCAACCCAGTTTCATTCTAGCCATGAAAATAAAGTAAGTACCCTGCTTCCTTTTCCTCGATGGACACTTTACCAACTGCACAGTCTTAAATTCCTCTTGGGATATATGCCTAGCTTTACTCACAAACTCCCAAGCCATTCAGTTCTCCCCACACCATCCCTAGCTTTCTCCTTTCTGCTCTTACAAATTGCCCCAGTAGGGTGACCATTTACCAAGCATTGCTTCCAAGATTGACACACAGGAGGCTGGCAATGTGCTCACTCAGTGGCCCCATGGAAGCCTCATACCAAGACTTGTTTTCTTCAAAGCAACCCTACCAATCTGCTCCTAGGCTCCAGGGATGAATTCTGGATGACATGAGAGCTTCTCTCTCAGGAATGCTGTCCTTCAGCCCCCATGACCGAGTCTGAAGAGAACTTCTGCCTGCTGTGGTTTGGACTCCATGTGTAGGAGGCCCTAGTCTAGCCTGATGTTACTTGGAAAGTGGTAGAAAATTGAAGACTGTGAGAGCTCAGTCTGTCTTACATTCTAGCCATAAGGGGAATGGCTCCACCAGTGTACTCAGTGAAGAAGTTAACTGCTTGTCAAATTCTTTCCTTTAATGAGCTAGTTTGTCTTGTCACATTATGTTCTAGTTGCTCTGGCTCCTGTGGGTATTAGTGAGGAGGCCTAAGACATATACTGCAGCCTTTGTTGCCGTCTCCACCCATCTCCACATCTCACATTTCCATGTATTTCCATTTATGTTAATGCATCTAAAATGGCATCTGATGTGGTTGGCTTGCATTTCATCAATGACTGTGACATTGAACAACTTTTCATAGGATTAACTCTGTGTATATACCCCTCCCACCTTAATTAAGTGTTCAATCAGTTCTTTGGTGCATGGTAAAAACACTGGAGACGGAATACAAGTCTCAGGCTTTTTCATTTCTCATTCTGTCTTGAACAGGTGCTTAATTCTGACTAAGTCCTATTGTGTTAATATTTTAAGGTTAGTGTGTTGTTTGGCAAGTCTTTGCCTACACTGAAATCTTGAAGATACTCTGTATTTTTCATGGTTTGTTCAGATCTGTATCTGTCCTGAAATAAATTTATGTTCAGTCAAGGATGGAGAGATTTAAGGTTCAGTTTTGTTCAGATATAGGCAGTTCTTCTAGTAAAATCTGCAGATTTGGAGTTAGGGAGATGGTTCAGCAGGTAAAGTGCTTGGCATGCAGGCATGAGGCCTAGTGTTCAGACTCACGTGAAAGGCAGGTGAGTGCAGAGGTCTGTGTGTCTTCAGTGTATGGAAGGTAGGGGGACTCCCTGGAGCAAGTGTAGACTGAGTTTCCTTCAGGCAGTGAACTGGCTCCTTGACTATGAGTCACTTAGCCACACTGGCCTGTGTTCTCTTACAGCCGGTTCCTTGCCCCTAAGTCAGTAGCACAGTGACCTTGAATTGGTGTAAGTCCGCCAGAATTCTGTCTTTTCAAATTATTGTATCACCTAAAAAGGCCACCTGGAGCTTTTGATTGATGAAGAACAGCTTTGCACCCCTAGAACATGCCATACTAGCCTTAGTCTGTTCTGTGTCCCATACTTTTAGTGCTGTTGCAAACGGCAGCCCCAGTGCCCCCCAACTTCAGTCTCCAACTGTGCTGCACATATGTACAGCACTTACTTATGCTCCCCCTTTTGTGGCTTATACAAAGTCTCTAACATGCAGATGCTCTTTGACGATGGAGCCACGTCGGGATAAGCCCTCTTGAAAGTGCATTTAATACACCTAGCCTTTTAAAGGCAGTTAGCCTCATCTAAATACCACGTCAGGCTACATTTGGGCAAAATCCCTAAACAGAGCAAGCCCATTTTATAATGTGTTGGTTATATCAAGTAAAGTATTGAATACTATATATTTGGTTGGTTTGTTTTTGCGGGGGATTGGGGATTGTCATTATATAACCACGGCTAGCCTGAAACTTACTATGTAGACAGGCTGGTAGTGAACTCACAGAGATCCACCTGCCTCTGCACCACCATGCTGTCTGGCCTGAATACTTTATTTGCAAATACAAAATGCATGGGTATGCATTTCTGCTTCTGTGAGGTTGACAAGTCATGGATCACTGTGTCCAGGAACAGTCTGTGGAGTATTTTTGGAGACTTTCTATGATTTTTTTTGCATACTTGGTCATATTCTGCAAATGAAGATACTTTTGCTTCATTTCCCATGTCCATGCTTATCTTCTTGCTGGACTGCCCAGGGTAGGGTCCTGAGTGAAAGGCTCCTAAATTGACTATATGAGATAGTACAGGATCCTTTCCTTTTACACAAGATCACTTTCACATCAAATGAGGCTACCTATCAATGTACTTTATTTGAGGAATTTTCCTTCCACTTCTAGCTCTCCCCATCCTCCTACCAACACTTTTGTGCAGATTAAAATTGTACCATCAGAGGTAATGGTTGGTACCTTGTACAGAGCAACAGATAAACATGCCAAGATGTACAACCTCATCTCAAATTCAAGTCATCTTTACAATGGCACTCATTAAGCATGTGCCTCAAAGAAATCTGGCCTGAGAGCAAGAGTCAGGAAGCAATCAGATGTTGAGAAACCTCAAGGCCTTGGAGCCCATAAGTTGTTTTCTGAGTGTCTCATGAAGCCCTTTGGTAGACATACTGTACTGTTCTTCCTGGCTGAGAGTCAGTCCTATCGACAGGCCAGTGTTCCATCTAGCTCTCTTGTCTTCATTCTCAAGGCAGCTCTCCATAGTTTTTGTTGAGCTTTTATCATATCCTACCAAACTGTTTTTGCCACTTTTTTCCAGTTTGGGCAATAAATAAAAGCTGCTGTGAATGTCTGAGTGCAGCCTTCTGTGTGGACAGTTTGAGTCCCTTGGCTGAAGAGCAAGGAATAGTCTCGTTTCTAAGACCCGCCCGCCTCTCCAGAGCTGTACTCTGCTATGGCCCCAACAAATGAGTTTCTCTTCACTGGGCTGGTCACCATTCTTGATGCCTCAAGTTTTTCTTCTGTTGGCTCCTATTTCATTTCTCTTCTGACAGTTCATATTTACTTCTGCCTTGAGCTTCAAATTTACTTTTTTTCCGTCTAAGGTAGGATTCCTTAAGAACTTAATCTCTATTACAGGTGACTAGTACTTTATAAAATTCCAAGTAATTTAGTAGCATACACATTCTGCTGTTTTCATCTTTGGACATTTTAAAACAACATTTTAATCTTGTCTTTGACCCACAAAAAAAAGTGAATCAGTTTCAAACTATTTGAAGGTGTTATAGTTGATTTTTATCTGACACCTTGGACTGTAGTCTACCTGACATATGGGTCATGTGTACATGAGAACATGAGTTCTGGTGTTAGCAGTACCATGTATTGTCAAGGCGTCAGTGTCCTTTGTGTCTATCAGGTTTTTGGAAGGCATGCTGAAATGTCTCCCTTTAACTGTAGAGAGATACACTTGACAAGTTTCAAGTTTTGGGCAGCATGTATTTAGAAGCTATTAGCTGTATAAGTGTTTGGGATTACTTTGTTTTTGTCATAGGGAAAGAACTCTTCCTACCCCAGTAGAAATCTACTCTACCTCATGCTAACAGCTACTATCAGATGGGTGGATAATGTTCATTCGCTGTAATGTCTGCCCATCTGTTCATTTTTGTAGTGAGTTCTTGTAGGTAGCCTGCATGTAGGTCTTGCATTCTTATCCAGTCGAACCTTCTAAAGGAAACCTTAGGTAACAGGATTTAACATGGTCATTGCTCCTGCTGGGTTTAAATTCACTCACTGCCTTTTGCTTCCTAGTCTTTGAAGTCTGACAGGTAAAATACTTGGTTTAAATGGCTTTGTGCTTTAAGATAACATCACCAAACTTCTGCAATATGAGATTATAACTAAGAAACAAATCTGGGGCAGGGGGAATCACCTTGTATTTTCGTGCTTGAGTATTTGCAGACTTTTATGAATTCTTTATATAGCTTTATATAGATACTTCTACTTAGCAATGTTATAGAAGAGAGTTTCACAGGCAAACTGTTGTCCAAAGTCACTCAGGTCAAGCTAAGGAACTGCCACTTCGTGAAGTTAGCAACTGCCGTCTAGCTTAATGGGCTATCAGCCCATTCATGAAGTATTTCCCATCATATTCCCAGGTCATCCAGACCACAGAAGATGGAATAGGCATAAATCCTAGTCAAATGATCAAAAAGATCCTTTATTTAATGTAGACAGCCTATTAAGTCATCAAAATAATTTATAATAGTTAAATGCCTCTGAAATATACATGATACCTTCTGAAGCTAAAAGTAATATGCATTCAACTAGTTTTAAAATCTATTAGGAACATTAAACAAATGAGAGTAGGAAAAAGTCTCCTATGAAGTCCTCTATGAAAGGAAACTGTGACAAGTTCCTGGTTAGACAGAAACCATTCCATCTCCAAGAGAAGCATAAATAAATAGAAATGTCTGCTTCCTGGGTTTGTACTAATAGACCCAACTTTTTAGAATTATTATTTTCTGTTTTCCCTGGATAAACAAGAATGCCTTAGCAGCAGCTCAGAAATAACCCAAGTCCCAGTGAAGCACCTTCTGCTCCTGTGATGGTCACCTTCCACCAGGGGTCTTGTCTGTTGGGGTCAGCAGCATCCTTCATAAAGCACCATGATTTATGGCAGGTGTGATAAAACCTGGTGAATTATGTTATCTCCAGCCAGGGTCCATCTTAACCTTCTAGGCGCCACTGTTGGGAGGCAGAGCCATCACATATTGCCATGCCAACAGAGCCCTTCTGATCCGTCAGGTCCACCACTCTCAGGCACTGTCCCACAGACACTTGATACAGCCGATTGTTCTTCTGGGGAAAAAAAGGCAAGAAAAAAAGGACCTGCTTTTATTTAAAAACAAACATTCTTGCAGCATGCAGGAAAGATGTAGAAGCATCAGGACTAGTTAAAGCCCATGTGTACAGCAAGCTGCTCACCCCAAAGGTCCACTGCTGAGATCCTCCTGACCCATGGCACTTCATGAGTCGAGGTGGGTCTGAAGAGCGGGTTTCTGACATGTCGAGGCAAAGGAGGTTGTTTAAAATCAATTCATGCTCTTCATTGTAAATCCAGATCTAGTGACAAAAACAAAAAAGAAAAGGGTTTTAAAAAACAAGTGTTGTCTTAAGTACTGGAATGAAGGCCTGAATAACACTTCACAATGCACTCTCTGCGGTCTCCACACTGGTCAGACCTG